GTATTTTTGTCGAAAATTGTTAAAGGTAATGAAAAGTCAGAGTTGCAGAGTGGGTATCATAATTTGGGAATAATAAAGTGTGAGGTCAAAGGGCAGGCAATTTGTGCACAATGCCAACAATGCTTAATCCGTCTTTACTGTTACTATTAGTGGTGTCTAAAAAAATAAAAACTATTCAAAACAAACTGCGTTTAGCCTGCTGGGGGAGCAAGGAAGGAAATCAGGAAGGGGACAAACACTTTTTCACACCACAACATTTACAGCGAATACAAAGGACTTTTTACATTTGATTAAAAATATTTGGACCAACGTTTTCTGTGTGGCTGTTATACATTTAATCAGATAAAAGCTGAGAACACCCACCCACCGATTTGTTGACACCATAACTGTATCCTCTCATATGAAGAGGTATGAAGTAAAACCCATTTTATGGACTGTGATGCTAGGGTAAACGTAAAGACACACTGCATGGCTGCATCCAGTGGATGGGTTTATTTCATCCTGACTGTATACGGTGTCTCCTCCTGGGTTTGGGAGCAGTGAGATCTGGCTGTTAGTCTTTGTATTGAGTGTCAGAGAAACATAAACCTTAGTTTACAGCATGCGGCATCCTCAGGGGACGCTCGGCTTCCAGCTGCTGCCCGCAGCCAATGCCTTAGGCTAGAGAACACAGTTTAGCTCCAGGACTTCGTGTTTGTGTGAACGTCCCAAATAGCTGGGAAAAGGTCAGTGGGAGTCTGGATGGGATCTTTGCTCCACTGTTGGTTGTTTTGGCTCCTTTTTAGGACCGCTCAGCGGTCTGTTCATCTGTGGTCAAATCCCCTGTCAAGATGACCGGACCATCTCTGCAAACTTTGAGTCCAATAGCTGCAGTGCTGACTGGGTGCCAGAGCACTCGCGCTGAAGGTCAGACATGTTTAGGTTGGCATCAGCAAGTAAAAGTGGAGCAGCCGTGTGGTTGACGGCCGCTCTCCCATGAAGGTCTCCTGCAGATGTTTCTTTACCAACCATGATATTGATTTTAGTTTCTTTTATGTGTTTTTTCCTTATATTTCTCATGGAAATTGTGTTTCTGTCCTAGGTGCTGTCTCAGTTAACTATTTTCGGGATGACCAGCTACGTTTTGCTTACTCTCACCTCCCTGGGCTTCATCATTGAGCAAAGGTGCAGTTTGTGCAGCTTCTAACATCAGCATACAGCAGCTGAAAATGTCGATATAAAATGCTTTACTTGTATTTTATGCAACTTTAGCTGTTTCAAATTATAATCTCAAACCAAAATAAATTTATGTGAAAAGTAATTGGCCATGTAATTCACACATTTATTTGGCCCGATTTCCCTTCATCACGTAAAAGAGAACCTGTCTGACATCATGAGGTAGGCTGAAATATCTTAACCCACATGTGTCAAACTCGTGGCCTGAGGGCCAGATCTGGTCCGCTGCAGCTTTTAAAGTGGCTCCAAATTACATCAATAACTCCAACAAGTATTGTTTCCACAATCCAACATAATCTGCTGGAAACCTTTGAAATCTCCTTCAGATTCATCTATTTCTTACATAGTTTTCATTTTAATTTCTGTTAGCATCGTCTTAAGGGGTTAAAAAGTCAAAACGGATAGAAAACCAAGCTCAGTTTGGAGGAGGATGCTTCTAAGACTTTGGCATAACGGCAATAGCCATTATCCAAAAATGGAGCCAACCAAAGGACCGGTGAACCGTATCAGGGTAGCCACAACATTGGAAGCCCTGCAGGGTTTATTTGCCCCTATTGTTCTCACAGTTTAACAATAGGAATGAGACTGGGTAAGCATTTATGGGAGGGCTCCAAGGCGAAAACAACTGCTTACCAAAAAAAAGCAAGAACTTTCTAATAAAACTTTTTGCGTTCCCTGTTCAGAAAATATTCTCTTGACTGGTGAAACGAAGGCCAGACTTCGTTTCACCAGTCTGCAGGTCTGCAGAACTGAGTGAAAACTCGGGACTTCGGCTCTCTGTTCCAGCCATGCTTTTTGTGAAGCAAAGCTTAAGTTGGTCAAAAATCCAAAGCACATCAACAAGTCGCAAAACTAAGACAAAATGTGAAGGTTTTACAGTGGCCTAGTCAAAGTCTGAACTTTAATGGAGATGGTGAGTCTAGATGCAAATGTTTGACGGCAGCTGTTGACATCAAATGTTCAGTTTCCATGGAAATTACTTTTCCACATAGAATTACTTTAACGGTTGGTTTTGATAGATTTTTCCCTTAAAAAAATTAAATAATTTTGTCACAGGTGTGATGAAAAAGTGAACTCAGTCTGTTACTGTTCTCTGATTTCATGCGTCTGTACCTTCAGGCCATCATCAGCCTTCTTGGAGACGATTCGCTGCGTTGTCATGGTAATGCTGATGCGGTACAGCTACCTGAGGTCCGCCTTGCCTTTACTCTCTGTCCCCACTGAGGTAAGCTAAGCTACCGGCGCTACAGATCAAGACAAAGCTGGCGTAACTAAACGCGCTGGCTTTTTTATTTCATTTTGTTTTTCTTCGACAAACCTTGGCATCTCGAAATCCTCCCTGTTCAACGCAGCCTCAGATGTTTTGGCTAAACGTTTTGGTATGTTAGGCTACTGGCAGCAGACGTTTTTCTTGATTTGCTGGCTCCAGATGATGGAAAGTTTCAAGCTGCGAAGGTTTGGCAAACTTATTGTGTTTTTCTTTTTCTCCTAACTTATATACTTAATTTATCAAACTTCTTCTTACTGCTTTTTTACTTATGCATGCAATTATTTCATGGTTTCTGCACCGGGGTCAAAGGTCAGCAACCTCTTTGCTTCTCTGCTTGGAACACTGTGGATATATATTTGTGCCACTTCAATCTCTGTTTTTTGTGAAAACTATGTTTTTACATGGAAAATAAGTTATAAAAGGTGTAGAAGAGGAAGAGAAAAACAGCAGATGTGACATTCACAATAAACTGATGACTGTACACAAATCGTTAGTTGACTGGGTGGGGCTCAAAATAATAGAGTTTATTTAGTGATGTCATTCACTCGGTGGCCTTTATTTGCACATCATTTAGGACAACATCCTACTTTGATTTAGAAGTTAATTGCATTGTGGAAAACATATAAAGAAGTTCAGAAATTTACAGGCTTCTGAGCTAGAATGATCTCAAATGCCTTAAAATGGAAACCAAACCCAAAAAGACGAAGAAAACAGAAATTACCGAAGCGACTCGCTCGCGTACTGCAGGACTCTAAAAACTGGTTAATTGTTTATTACCATGCTGTGATGGTGACATTTCAAGCTAATGGGAAAAGGGAACTATGCTGCACAGCCATCTAAAAATACAAATTGATTGAATTTGAAACAGAAGAAACAATTATTTCTACAGATGCCTACATAACATAATTGTTACACTCATGATGCTATCTACCATATCTTATTATTTTATTTGGATTATTTTAATAGTTTTGAAGCCTTTTTCTGTTATTTTCTTTATACAGTGAGTTAGATTTTTAACTAGATGGATAGAAAGTTATTGACATCAATAAGCAGAGGCGGCCCAAGCCTTTTTGGGGCCCTAACCAGATTTTAACTGGGGGCCCCAAACACCAGCATGTCGACACGTGTTGCTATTGATTTTTACCTTACAGGAGTTGCAAATAAGCAAAGATGCTCCAATTAATTTGCATTTTGAAATGCACACTGTTAAGTTTGGCATATTAACTTAAATATTTGAAAATAACATCTATAAGTTGACAGGTTTAATACTTTTGCTTTTAAAATTTGATGTGTAAAATGTGCAATTCTTGTCAGGACAAAATTAAATCAGATGGTTCTCTTGGGCGCCCTCTGGTGGTGCTGGGGCATTGCCGTGGGCCAGCGCCGTTGATGAGTAACAGAACTGTGGAGCCTTTTGGGTGCATGAAATGCATGATATTGTCTTAGTGCATCTTTAAATCAGCCGATTTTCAATGTTTCCCCATGATGTGAACAATAAATATTGGTCCCTTTAACTACAGCTGCAAATAGTTTACATAATTTTAGCCATGTGTAGCTATAGCTTTACAGATGATTGGGTTGAGGTAATACTTTAGGCTCCATCTGTCATGAAATGCATCAACAAACTTCGATTCAAATATCTCTGCACTCCCACCTTACCTCAGCTGTACAGCTGCAGTCGACTCCGATGACAGATCCACCCATGCTAGCAAAGCATATCTACGGTTCATGACGTTGGTTAAATGCCCCCTGAGATTATTTTGTCAAACAGGTGAGTCCTCTGACCCTTCAGAATATAACACCTCTTGTAAATGTCCTGAGAGAAAATAATTATGTTTGACAGCTTGTCCGGTTTCAGAGTCCTGTGTGTATAAAGACTCGGATAGTGCAGAAAATATGTTGGACCGCAAAGCTTTTGTCCACTTACGGACAGCAGATGTCAAACTCCTCCTTGGAATTGAATATGTATCTGGCAACCTAAAATAGTTTATTTGTCACAGTATTTTTGAAAATGAGTGATGTTTCCATTTGTTTCAAGTTTCTTAGTATTTCACTTTCTCTCCCGTGCACATGTGAGAATATTTGGAAAGTAAATATATTGCATAAACTGCTGCCACATATAATGGCGGATCTGTAAAACATATTTTACATAAATTCATGTGTAGTATGTGTACATTTTAAAAGGTACTAATGTCAGAGTAACAATGTTTGTTCTCATGGTGTTAGCATCTCATGCTCAATCCCTTTTTTAGACATACACTTCAGTCTTGCTTACAGTCTACAAGCAGTCAAATAATTATTGGCCAAATAAGTGAGAAAACTGGTCAGATCCCCTTGTTGTGTCATCCTTTCTAAGCATTAACCTTCATCAGCGCAGACAAACTGTATGCATAGCATAGCATGTGAAGAAGTAATGTTATCATCCAGTCATGTATGTAAATTTTATTGAGCTATTTCTTTTCCAAGATGTTCCTCATTTTTCTTAAGCACCAGGTCCTGCTGCATGAAACAGTGTTACTTCTGGCTCTGTGTTTTAACAGTAGTGTAATGTTATTTCCCTGAGTTTATAGATTTAGTTTATGTCAAACATACCCTCTGTCCTGTTACAACAACTCATTTTGGGACTCAGAATGGTTAAGACCATGGTCTTCAGCCTGGATAAGAGGAGGAGTTTCAATATCTTGACGTCTTATTTACAAATGAGGAAAAAGAGAGTGGAAGGTGAAAAGATGGATTGATGTGGTGATGAGAGAGCTGATTTATTTATTGATCTACGTTCAATCCCTTATCTATAGTGCATGAAAGGATAAGACTGTGAATAGAATCAGTGTTTTTGCTTTTATCATCTTGCAGTCTGCTTTCAGGAAGTCGTTGCTTGAATGTTAGTTGTTTTGCTTTACTGCTTTCCATACGGTTTAATGGGCAATTTAGAAACTCTTCTAAGACGTCATTAACAGACTGAAAAGTGCTGGACTATTCTTTCTAAGCCATCTGATGTTTTTTTCTATCGCATCTTGATGTTCATTATCATTTGAATAATGCAAATAAACATCAAACTAAATGTTTTAATAGGACAAACCTCCTTCAAAATGCTGAGTAATGATGTAATCACAGGCACCTGATGTTGATGTTATCTAATTTACACTTTACCAGAAACTAGGGCTGGACAATATGCCTGAAAAACATATCATGATATAAGTGCTTCATATCGGTCAGTATCGATAATTATTGATTTGTTTTTTTGTTTTGTTTTTTAATATCTAAAATATTGTCAAACTGGTGATATGACTTTTTCTATCCACAATTGTCTCTCCACATTATGAGGCACAGTGGCGAAACCTTAAACTGCTGCTGCACAAATTACTCAACAGGTTGTTGCTAGGTAACCAAAGAGTGAGTGAGTTGCTAGGTAACCAAAGAGTGAGTGAGTTGGTAGGTAACCAAAGAGTGAGTGAGTTGCTAGGTAACCAAAGAGTGACTGAGCTACTTGATGCCACCAGCTTGGCTGTGAGAGGTTGAGTGGCTAAAGCCTTTCCTCTGCCTACATCCCCCAGAATGCCGAGCAGTTCTAGATCAGAGTTCAGAAATCTATTGAATATTTTATCAGACATATTATCTATTGATATTGATCAATATGTGTCTATTGAGATATTCATTTTTATTGATTTAATCTCTGGTCTTTACTAGGAATTGCATTTTTTAAGTATCTGTTTATTTTATTATTGTCTATATTATTTTAATTCTTTAAAATGTTCTTAAAATTGATATTCACCTGTGCAAATGTACTAGAAAAACATATAACATTAAAAAACACAACCTTTTTATTTAATTCACCAATTAGTCCATGCAAAACAAAAACTACAGACCAACAATTAGAAGTATTGATCTACAAAATAACCGGATAAGAGAACAAATAACAGGAACAAAAATAAACAATGAAACAAAACAAATGATCATACTTTTAAATGGATACATTCAGAACAAAGTGTCACAATAAAAACAGCTAAATCGTTGTAACATATGTGGATTAGTGTGTATATATTTGAATCTCTCCTTTGATCGTGGCTGGATGTTTCAGCATTTAAAACTCTTACTTGAGCATCTTCAAACAGCGACGTCGTGTTCCCCCGGTGCGTCTCGGCCTGTTTTCTACCCCATGTGTGAGCTGTGTGGTCTGTTTTGTGTGAGTAAAACGCGTTTGAGCCGGGTGCTAAGTCCTGCCCCGCAGCCCTGTGATCTATGAGGCCAGATGCGTCGCCCAATTGACCATAAAATTGGCGTGCCTTTCTGGCTCTGGCAGCTCGACTGTAGATGGAGGCTGACCTCTCATTATTTGCCCTCCCTCCGCTCCAGCTGCCTCTTTTTCTCCCTGCGCAGCCCTGACTGCTTGATGTCCCGGCCGGCGTGAATCAGCGCAACACTTCTGGAAACAATTAGTGTCGTCTGCCACTAACTAGCTCAGACCATTGAGATTTGCCATCGCCTCTTTTACGTCCTTTGACTCCACATCTGGGCCGCGAAGGTGTTCAAATGACAACCCAAGGTTTTCCCACCTTTTCTCTTTTTTTCTCACCGTGAAATCTAATAAAACTGAATTAATTCTTTTTCAGAGAGCGACGCCTGAAATGAAGCGCGTAAGCAGCCAGCTGGAGAGCGAAAAGGCCTTTTGATTTATGCTGTACATGCTGCTCTGCTGTGTCACTGTGCAGATGTTTCTTTAAGCGATTCATTAGGGCTCATTTCAAGTCGCAGTACATCAGGTTTAGCTGGATAACTGTCTTGCCTGCAGGTGGGGGCTCGGAGAAAATCATCGCAATTTTATTTACAATGGTTTCTGACATATTTCCTCCCCTTTGTTCAAAAGTACAGCAAAGAAAAAGAAATTGAACCCACCCCCAAAGTTTAGCCTTCTATAAAGATATACGATTTTGAAGCCCTTTGTTGCACGGAGGGTTTTGAAGTTGCGCCAATCAATTAACAGTCTGTAGAAACAGAGAGGGGGACAATTCACATTTAATTGTGTTCAGACTCACTGTACGTTTGAAAGGAAGGGGGAAGGAAAAAAAACTACAAAAACTAGGTCGGTTTGTGGTCCTTCAAAACCAGTGGTGTGATATACTGCACCCTTAAAGCTCACAGCGGTATTTATAGTGGCTCTGGAGATTTCCCTTGTAAAGCTGCAGGCTTGACCTGTAAACCAGGGCTGCCTCTCGCTCCCAGCCGCCCACTCGCCACTCAGAAAAACCCACGTCTGCGCCACTGATAGTGTGTGAAGGAGTTACTGTGTGATTAGTCATAAGCAGAGTGTCCTTGAACCCTTATGCCAGGGGTGTCGAGCTCCTTTTCATTTTGGCCAATCATGAATGTCCTCAAAGAGCCGGTTGTGGCAGAATGTCATGACAAAACTGCATTGACATTAACAAATGGTTATGAATAAATGGTTGTCTCTGCTTTTAGTGCTTTTTAAAGTTAGATTGAACATATTTTCAAATAGTTTTAATTGGCAGTATTGCCAGGAGTGCTCTAATTTGTTGAATAAAATTATATTTAAGCACACAATTGTAATCTGGAAAATCTTTTTGTGGCTCTCTAGAATCTATAGGACCACATAAAAATATAAGATGGGCCACGTTTGGCCCCCAACCCTCGTGTTTGACATACGTTCCTGTTAGAATGAGCTGCACACATATTAAAATGTAGAAAAAACTTTAGGTACTGTAATTTTATTTCTGTAGCACATTTTCAGCAACAAGGCAGTTCAAGAGTTTTACATGAAATAGAAGGAAATACAAACAAAAGAAAGACAGAAAGGTGAAGTAGAAAACTAAATATCGGTTCCCCATGTTTAATAAGAATAAATAGAACATAGTTTATAAACTAATAGGGGTTTCTCTGGATCTTAAGTTTGTTCTGGGTTAGTGAGGTATAAAACTAAATGTTTGTTCCAGTTGTTCTGGTTTGACTTCTAGATTTGTTTAAAGCTGTTTCTCCATGTTTGGTTCTTGTTGCTAAGTAAACTAACAGGAGTTTCTCCTGCTCTGTATTTAAAGGTATAACAGGATAAATTGACATCTTATTGCAGCAGCACGATCCGACACCCAACTGTTAATTCAAGTAATTCCATTTGTGTTCATACCCCTTTACTTTTAACACCCCAAAATAAAATTATTATAGTAAATAGTCAGTTTGTGTGTAATTTATTCTCTATAAATGTAGCTTGTTCAGTGAAGATGCATTTTGAAGAACATTAGAAAACCATCAGCAACATTAAGTACAAACCTGTCAGCACATGACCTGTAGTAGCTCTGAGGGAGCTGCAGAGATCCCTGACTCAGGTAGGACAGACAGGCTGTCTGCATCCTCAAAAACTCTGACATTAATGGAAATAAAATCAAGGCCTTTCTTTAAAAAATGAGTTAGCCTGGAACGTCATTGCAGGAATATTTAATCTTGTAGTTGGGGTTTTTTTTCTCGCTGGACTTTTCTGTCAGGCAAAAGTTTTTGTCGCTCACAGACATCTTGAAGCTACCGTTAATTATCTGCTAACATACCCTTGCTAGCTAGCTAGTAAGTGCACATTTTTTCTGCCAATTAGCTTGACAACAGTCATCTTCGCCCCTTGATCACTTGTGTTTGCCAACCCATATGAAGCCTGGTGTATTCTATGAACAAAGCAAACAAAAAAAATCTAAGGTTTGTAGAAGCACAGAAATACTGCCAAACTGAAAACCAATGAAATCTCACAGCTTTTGCTGTGACAGCAGAATCCCCCAACCTTTCTCTGCATTTATATCTTTTCGGACTTAAGTGTGAGTCAAGATGGTATTAAAAAGGTCTTAAATTTGACTCATGACGCCTGCAGATACCTTATAGGAGAATCCACCAGACTAACTTGCATTTATAGAAGAATGAAGCTGTTGATGAAAGAAGAAGAGGATCCCGTTTGCAGTTTACCTTAATCCTATGACTCGTCAAATGATCAGATGAGACGAACATTAAACTTTTTGGCCGAAATACAAAACTCTAATGTGGGGAAAAGTAACACTGCACCATTCCCACAGTGCAGTGCTCCTCAGAGATCATTGCCCTGCATGTCTGAGGGATTCATGTCTCCTGCCAAATACATCACTTCAATAAGTGGGTGATTAACAGGCTTCTGCAGCACTTGGTGCAAGCAGAGGAGGTCATGTGGTTATTTGAATCAGGTGCTCTGGAACAGAGATGCATCTAAAACATGCAGGCAGTTTCCCTGAGGACCGAGGCTGAGAAGTGCTGCCATAGTGAGACATTTTGGTGGCAGCATCATGTGGTGCTGAAGCTTTTCGTCAGCAGGGACAGAGCAGCTGGTTGGAGTGATGGGAAAATGGCTGGAGATGCATTCAGAAAAATCCTAGAAGTTAAACTGAGGGGAAGCTAATCATGATTTATATGAAAACCTATCCATCTGTTGCAATGGCCCAGTCAAAGTTCAGAAAGAAATTCAATGTAGAATTTGTGGCAGCTGATGTTCAGAGACTCTCTCTGACTCAGTTTGAGATGTTTTGACACATTTTAGTCTCTACATGTAAAGACATTTCTAGTTGGGATTCAGTATTCACAGTTTTGGAACCTTTTTCCAACTTATGAGGAAAATGTTATTATTTGGGTTGGTGGTTGTTTTGAAATAAATATCTAAATTATTCTTTTTAAAATGCAGCTTGGGGACCGGGGCCAATCCAGCAATGCCATTTATTGTCCTGGACTTAACCTGTGATTCCATTAACCATAAAACTGCAAATTGAAATTATGAAAGTAAATTCACGTAATGGAAATGCGTCAATTAAAAAAAAAAAGCAAATGTTTTTTGATAAAAAGTTTCTGCACAGGATGAGATGGTTTTTCAGCCATATTGAAATAGACAAATTTCTCAAAACCGCAATGGAAACTTTCTTTTTTTTTTTCATCACGAGTCACATGATCAACAGCTGGATGTTACTACTGGCAGAAATGACAAAGAGGACGACAGGAAGTGATAGGAGGAGGGATTTTTTGTTTTGTTTTTGTCAGACAATGTGCAGCTGGCTCCACCACAGAATGTGTCATTCAAATGAGTTGAATCTCTTCTGTAAAATCGCCGACTATAGTTTCCCCAAAACGCCACAAACGTAGCCGCTCCCAAGGATAAAGGGCTGACGTCTCCTCTGATTGGCTGATAGACAAGAGCCATGGCTGAAAAATGAGTATATAACTGTTTACGTCTGTCACTGCCATTATTATTAATGACTTTTTGCGTGAACAAGCTTATTCACATGTGATTTTACTTTCATTTCTTATTTACAGCAAACACTGAAATTTCAGATTTTTTTTTTTTACATTAGCAGATTAAAGACAAACATTTCTTCACATTTGTAATGTAGCTGCTGATTGGCTGTTCCTGTAGGACTGAGGCTGTAAATGTTTCTTCTGTTTTATTGCCAAGACAGTTTCCACTGTGTATATTAATACATGAGGTATATTTTGTGTTTGAACTATTAAAATAGGAGGTTATAAGCATTTTTATGGGGCATATTCAGCTATTCATAATACTGGGGGTCCAATTTATAGACATATTCGCAAAAATCTTGCAGCAAAAATAGTTTCTACGTCTTGACCATATTTTTTATATTTTGGACTTTTTTCCGTCAAGTTCCTTCCACTTCATCAGTAAGTGATGCTTTGAGTCATTGAATCCTGGTAATAAACAATTTTTCAAGCCACTAAATTATTAAAGACCACAGTTTTCATTTGAGGCAGCTATGAAGTATCGGCCGATCACCGATGTCTGAAAATTAAAGAAATCGGCACCGATGAAGCTGGCTCTACAAGCTGAAACATTTAGACTCCGTTTGACTCCAACCTCAAGTGAACAACAACAAACCAATTTCAAATCCTAATTAACTAAACAAAACCAGATCATTTTTATATTTAACGTGATGAGTAAATTCATCGAGGTGAAACTGGGTGTAGCAGGACGGTAATTTGTTTGCAGAGCCGTTGTAGTTTATTGGATGGTAATCTCTTGCTTTAATTCGAGCCAGTGGGTGTGTGTGAGGGCGCATTTACTGCGATAGTCTGTAAATGTGGTGGCATGCAGGTTGTAATAATGTAACCCAGGATGGTGTGCTGTGTGGGCTCCTGGTTTTGCCTGAAGGCGCGTGAAAACAAGCTCTGCAGCCGAGCGCAGACACCGTGCATTCAGCAGCAACTTCAGAGCATTTTCTCTTAAATGACCACTGGCTGTTAGTGAAGCCGCAGCAATTTACGAGGAGAGTTCATAAAAAATACACCTGTCTTTGGTTGAGAGAGAGAGAGAGAGATGGTGTTTCTTGCATATTTATGCTAACAATAGATGAACCATTACTTAACTTCGAGAGTTATAGCCACTTTTATTGTCTTCCTTGTATTTTCTTTTTTAGATTTCCCCAAACAGAATAATTAAGAAGGCTTGGGCTTGTTGTTCTTTTGTAATTTACTGAATTGCTTCCTTTCAATCAAAGAATTTATGGGGTGGAATGGTGCCTCATGCAAATTAAACACTGCAGGCAAAATTAAAACAATGAAATCCTTTTTATTTCAGAATATTTATTAAGAAAAACCTTTTCAAACCAGGATTTTCCATCTTTTCATCCCTGTGCCTTTTTCCAAACCAGAACCATCTTTGACAGTTTAAAATGGAAAGATAAACGCTTCCCAGCCAAACGCAGAGGTCACAATAATATTATTAAAGTCATACCTAACACAAAGGCTGCACCTCAGCACCAAAGGACTTTATCTTCAACTTTATCTGTCTCTAAAAATGCCAAATCCCACCCTGTGTTTTCCATCATGCCTGCTGACAGGACTGCAAAGGTCAAAGGGTTTCTGTTGTCTGATCGTATCTTTTCCAATCACTGAAACTCAGGTGTGAGAGGTTAGCCGAGGCTCCCTTTTTTTAGAAAGCAGGAGTGAATAGTAGCAAAAGGCAGCGCTGAGGTTAACGGGCTCCTTTGGAGCTGTGGAAACTCGGTGAGCATGACATCATTTGAGAGCTCACAGGAATGGAAAGGAAAGGAAATCTCCTCCCAGGGAGAAAATGGGAATGGAAGAGGGGGGCTGAAATAGGAACGCTGAGTCGGACTGTTCTGGAGTAAACAGCGGGGTGGTTCTGCATACACATACTGTGTGAAATATTATCAGACAGCGTGCAGGGGTTCGTGCCCGTCAAAGAGTAACCGCTCGGTTTATGCTGTCACACCATTTTCCAGGTAGAGCCACGGAAATCCAGCAGCAAGTGGCCTTTTGGGAGTTTTTTAACCTAATTTAGTTTGGCTTCTGTGGAGTTATAGTCTTAATATGGCCAACTCTGACTTGCTCTTAATTTGTCTTCCTCTTTTTTGTGCTTTAATTCGCACAAAATTCGTCCAGTTTTTCAACGCAGCTTTGGCGCTACTGCTTCAGGCAGATTGGGCCTGACAGAAACTCCTTTGAAATGCACATAAAGCAGAAGCTGCTTATAAATCACCACAAATGATTAAAGACGTATTAATATCCAGTTGAGAATTTTGCAAATTTTTATTTGCAGAAAATCTATCAAAATGCTGCTGAGAGCAGGCTTGGCCACTTTTCTTTCCACAATGTTTCCAGCTGCAGCATCTTGCCTGAAGTGAGCTGGAAAAAGTTTCTTGCTGCCAGGATCTGCAGGGCTGTGGGGGGCTTCAGACTCCGAAGGACTTCAGATCCTGTGTTGCAACATTTTAAGTTATTAATGTTAGACAAAAACTGGAGAAAAACAACTACATTTCCCCTGTCGGCCTGTAAAAGCTAAAATAATTTGTAATTAAAACCATAAAATAAACAGAATTTAATAGAAAGCATTAATCAATTGAAATAGATCAGACCCAAATCATAACAGTTGAATAAAATGTGAGCTTATTGAGAGGCACAAAGTGAAAAGAAAGATAACGAATCAACTTTAAAACTTTGTTTTCCCTGAAACATGTCCTGGGAAAGATATCTGAAAACCTTTAAAATAAATCCATCCTTTATTTCAGTCGCAATGTGTAAAACTGAAAAGTTTCGACAAATGAATCCTTTAATAGGATGTGGGTAACGGGGAGAAAAAACAAACATATGAAACAATTATCCCAACTACATTGTTGAAGCAATATTCATCAGCAATCGCTATAAAATAAATGTAACATGTTTTCAGTCCAAAGGCTTAAAAAAAAAAAAAAAAAAAAAAACACCCAACCGTTTTTTTTTTTTTTGGCAAAAGTTTTTTTGGTGCCTGGAAAATGAGCCTTTTCCAAAACCTCAGGATTAAGTCTTAACTGCACCGTCACCTGGCAGCCATGGCAGAGCTCCAGCACGTTTGGTCAGCTGGTTTTACCACTGTATTCTTTGTATTCTTTGTACAATGGCTGCTGGAAAAGGCAAGTGTTTTGTTGTTGACTTACCTCTTGCTGCAGTCAAAGCTTTTAAGCGCTTGGCTGTGCAGGAGGCTCTACTTCTTGCACGGTTCTATAATTTCACATCTGTTAGCAGCCATTTGTAAAGGTTTGCTCATCAAATGCCAAAAGATGGAGAGTAATGAGACACTAGAAGTCCTCAGTCGGTCAGGACCCCACCATGCGGTCCTCTTCAGAAGTTAACCTAAAAATTCAAGATAATGATGAGAAAGCATCTAGATGTCAGACATTTGAAACCGGACTTCAAATTAAATGAAAGCAGTATGTTGGGGTATACACCAGCTGTTGAATCTGATTTTATTGTCATTTTATCATTTTTTAAATTTGTTAAAAATGCTTACGCATACGCTCAACCAAGACTGGGGGGTCATGACCTGCATACATTTTTATTTTGTGGGTTGGAAGCTCTGAACTTTGGGAAAGTTTGCTCTGAGCTGTTTTATATGAAGGAGTGGATTCGACGAGAATGTTTACATGTGTGAGTCTCTTACAGGGTAGAAAGGGACGAAACTTTGTGTGAGACTGAGATGTTGATACTGAATTGCATTGTAGAACCCCATTACTGGACGCTTATTTAACTTTTTTCAGATGTTTTTACTTTTCATTTTGGCTTTTGTTATATTTTCTTATTACAAATATATTTGTATGTTTGGAACCAGTAGTAAATTGTAAGACTTTTAGGTTTTAGTTTTCCAAACATTTTTGGAGGGCATCTGATCTTGAAGTGCGTCAACCAAGAACTTTATAAATGAAAAGACTGAAAACACTTAAGTTGGATAATGACTGAACAAAAACGTTAAAATCAACCTTCATCTATGTTCACTACACTCCCCAAAAACATCTTGTTGAGGATTTATTTGACTCAGAGGTCCTCGCCCCTCCCTCCGCAGACATCCCCTTGCTGAAAAATCAAGGTGGGATGTTCATCTGCTTTGTGCTTAGTTAATTTTCTGCTTCATGATCGCTCCCTCTGCCCTCCTGAATGTCAGATCTCTTTATTTTCTAATCTTCCAACCTTAAAATAGAAGCTCTGATCCTGTTTCAGACGACCTACTC